ATACTTCTGAGCCGCTTTACAAAGTAAGTTACGTGTAATGCAGAGCAGTCGCTCGGAGTAGTTCGGTGCTTGGAAATAACTTCGGCTGCACGTTATTTTGCAACTGACAACGTAATGTGTCTTCGGAGGTGTTCATTTTGCCCTTTACTAGTAGATGACATTGGCCATGATGACAATTTTGGTACTAAAAACTGAAAGAAAACATGGCTTACCTCGCAAGGTGCTTACCTATTTTCCCAGTGGGTAATTATTCATTTTATTTTCTTCTGGTAACTATATATGTGAATATAAACATGCATATATAGGTTTAAATATATGCAACGAGCTCACCATAGGGTCGCGGTAATACAAATTAATGTTCCCGCTAGTTGAATTGTGGTAGGTCATTAAATAATAATTTTGGTTAGGTCGGTTTGTTTTTAAGTTACTTTTGCTTTATTTGAATTTACAAGTAATTTCGAATGCGATAGTATTTGTAGTTATTTTTCTTAGTTTATTTTTCATGCGCTTTACTTGAGCTTGTTTTCTAGTTTAATTCAATGAACTAATTAATCAATTGTATTAGATTAAGGGAATACACACTAAATAAACTTTTGTGTGTACAAGATGAATTTAAGTGGTTGAGATGGATGTAATGGCATTAATGAGGGGTTAAACTACTTTGGTGTGGGTGTGGCACTTGTGCTACAGAGGGGAAGTGGGAGTGATGACTGGGTGAAGTGACGGACTTCAGATAACTGACTGCCGACAGACGAACTCAAGCCAGGTTAGGGGGCATCTAGGGTTGCCAGATTTTTTATTCGCGAAATCAGTACGTTAGACTTTTTTATGCCAAAAGAAATCAGTACTTTTCAGTACATTTTTGTTCAAAGCAAAGTTATGAATGTAAGTAACAGATAATACTTTAAAACGCCAGAGTCCTTGTTTTCAACAATATTATGGTATATAAATAAAATATAGCTCATAAAAAAATAAAAGTGTTATTCATTTTAACATGAGTGTACGCATCAATGTACACAGAAGCCAATAAATTTTTTTATGTTTATGACATTTTTGAATAGCAATAATCAGTTAATTTCCATCTTCAGTCAAAGAATTCTATACATTTCATTTTAAAATTATTTTAATATGAAGTTCACTTTAAATAATTTTAATTAGAAGCCGGTTGCTCTCTTTGCGCCAGCAAGCAAACTTCATACCTTAAATGCACTCAGTTGGTTTGTTTGTTTGTAGTATTGAAGAAAACAAAATTACATACTTTTCCAAACTGTGGAAAAGTACCACTATTTAAGGACTTCATATATAATTCCTGATGGCTCTAATTAATTCTTTCAACTACGCAAAAACTTTGAAAGTCTAAGAATTCGCTAAAAAGAGTATCTAACTCTATGTCTTTTAGGCAATACTCTTTTACAGTGTCAGTAAATTGTGAAAAAAGTTATAAGTTATAGGCAAAAGCCATTCGAATATTCAAATTTGTTGTTATTAAAATGAAGGTTATTTTCGAGATAACTAGCAGCACTCGGCAAAAACCATCAGTCATCTTTTTAAATAAATTAAGCTCCATTATATTATCGCAACTGGTAGGCAAAGACCCGGCGATATGCCCATAACACGATTGAACTTTTTGTTGTATTAATTTCTTGGGCATATGAAACACTATCTGAAGATGTCAAACATAAGTAAATTATTTTCTTCTTACTTTTTACAGTACAGTTTAAGGAAGTTCCAACGCTATGTAAAAACCTTAAGAAAATCTTAAAAGTATTTTGTTTGAATTGAAAATTTAGTACAAATCAGTACAAATTTTAAAAAATCAGGACATTAGCGTACCGATTGAAGAAATTAATAAAATCAGTACAAGAGTTGAAAAATCAGTACTGTACTGATAAAATCAGTACGTCTGGCAACCGTAGGGGCCTCGTTCGGTGCTAGGAGTCAAAGAAGTGCCAAGGATTCACTCAGGACTGCGTTGAAGTGGGTGGGAGACTCAACCTGACTGGACAGACACTCTTTTTCTCTTCTTTGTTTTTCGGTTTCCCTTTCTTTTCACTCAGGCATGATACAAACCTTTTTTTTTTTTGTTGGTGTAACTGGTAGCGAAGCAGGTGAAGACAACCCAACCCCCCCCCCCCCCCCCCCCCCCCCAACCGACGAGCTATGCCAGGGCACGCTAGCATGCCTGCTTCGCTTTGCAGCAAACACACGATTACACAACACTTTGCACAACTTCTTAAATGTACCACAACTTTACGAAACTTAAGGCTGATTATGCTTCGCAGTACAACCAACGTTATGCATCGACGCAATAGTGTTATTCACGGTGCGTGAACAAAAACTGATGATTTTTGGTGTCTTGAGGTAAATAGATTTGTTTACAGAAAAATTCATTTAAGTGGTTTTAATGGGGTATATTTGTAGTCCAAATTAAATCGACACCAAAGATCTTTGCAGTTTGACATAATTTTCAATACAATATCTGTCAAAATATGTAAATAAAATACGTAGGTTTTTATAAAAAAAATACGTAATTAGCTACATACATATATGAAACGATATATTTACTAGAAGGAGCATAAAAATACCTTTCATTGGATATATAATTTTATATAGTTAGGTTTAAGGACAACTGCCAACAGCGAAATAAATCATCTGTATTGATATTTTAATATAAAATGAAAATTTTGGATAAAAAATTGCGCGATATTTTCTTTCAAATGTTCGCCTGAAGAACTTTTTTTAACATATAAAATCATGTTTTAATATTTAGTGATATTGCCAAAGATTTTTTTTATTATAAATAATATATTTAAAGGTGTTTATATGCTCTTTCTTATCTTGTGCATATCTTTTAATAAAATTAATTACGTATTTTTTAAGAAAAAAAATTTTTAATAAAATTATTTTAATTTTAATATTACATCAAAAGACTTTTAATTACCTTTTCAATCATATCCATACTTTGAAAATTGGTTCAAATTCCACGTACCGCTGCGATTGAAATGTCACTTAAGAAAACGTGAGGCAAAATCTGAACTCAATAGATCGCTAATTTTTTACAAGTTCTGCTAATTTCTTGGTAATGGAATACATACAAAATGCATTCAACAGATTTTCACCTGACAGTTTGAAATTTATGCGAAGTTATGCGATGTATGCATAATCAGACCATCAGTAGTTAGCGCTTCTGACTTTGCACATCGATAATGCGGATTCGATCCCTGCTGAAGTCTAGAAAAAGGAAGTCTGATGAGGAGATGTGGTGATCTCGGAAATATCTGCTATAACTTATACCGCTTAGACTTTGTTGCCTTTTCCGTTTTTTCTAATAAACAATAGTGGTACAAAGCTCAATAACACTATTGTAATAAATATTAATAAGTCGCAATAAAATTAAAATTATATTTGCTGCAAAATCTTGTACAAGCTGATCACCCAAAGGGTGTAGTGTTAGGAATAAATATAAACAACGACAAAATTAGGCCATCACCAATATAATAGTTTCCTCCGTTTTCACGATCTGATGTTAATTAATAGATTAATGTTAGCCAACTACTTCTCATTTACAATAAAGATTTTAATAATGGTTGACTGCAATTAACCAATGTAAAAAAGTGGCTGTGAAGACGAGCCATATTCATTGTGAATGAAAAATAACTATGTATATATATATTTATGTATACTTACCACCTCACTGGCATGAGTAATTTGATTATTGGCATCATATGTTCCCATATTTATGTCGTCTGAGTCTACTCCTTTAACCTTACCATATTTAGATTCGGCAAGCACCCATAATGGAATTTCCCTGAAGCTTGTAATTGTCAATGTTACACAAAAGGTAAAAATGAAGGTGACCATTGTAAAAACCGTTTTCACATGTCCGCCAAGCTTTTTTCCTAGAAGAAAACAATCAATAACAAACGTGAAAAGCCTTGAAGTGATTAAATATACCAATATTTGTTTTATCCCAGTCGATAGCTCCCATGGAATAACCCATGAAGCCACCCAAGCCTGCCATTATGGTAAAAGTAGAAAGACCTCTGACATGATCCTCTAATAAAAAAATAATAATTAAAAAATAGTTAACATGGATAAAATATACTTCTCACCTGGAAGGCATATATCAAGTAAATAGGCTCGAGCTGGGCTTTGGCATGCATCCGCATCGAAGTCAAGAAGTACAGTTCCCAATACTGTGAAAAATATTCCCCATGGATGTTTATTTATTGATTGAAAGTTTACTATATTTTCTGAAGCAGTAACGCGATGTAAATTTATACTTCCGTTTCTGGTATTGATTGTTGAGGTTTGTGGTTCTTGATAGTTATCCCCAAACCAGTATCCTAAACTTTCGCCATTAGGAATTAAGAGAAGTCCTATTAAAAGTTTAATTATATTAATGATAATGGCAATTACAATGTTTTGAGTGGTGTTATAAAAACATACATTTATACATATGTACATACATTTTATAAAATAAAGTCCCAAAATATGTATGTAATGTAATAACTTCGCACAGACTGCACCGATTTAAAAATGTTTTTTTTTTCATTTTAAAGCTTAGCTATCTGGGAAGGATAATTTCAACATTATTTGAAGGAAACTATAAAAGTGTCAATATGCCAAAATGTGGTAAAAAATTATGAAATCGTTTTTAAAACTGCTATAAAACAAAACGGAATAAGTCGATTGATATGTTTCTTTGCAGTAAAATTTTGAAAGGATAGCTTACGTTCTGCGTTAAAAAATAATTAGTTATTTTCTAATCTTATATATAAAAATAAGTGCACGTTTTTGTTGTGACCATATAACTTGAGAACGGCTTCACCGAACTCAACCAAATTTATGCGGCATATTTGGGCTATCACACAGATGGTTTATGTGAAGTTTGCTTGAATTCGGAAAAGGGGGCTTGGCGCCTGTATTTTATATATAAAAATTAGTGAGTAAGCTTATAACTTGAGAACGGCTTAACCGGGCCATCATGCACATATTTTGTGTGGAGTTTGCCCAAATTTGGAAACGGGGGCGTGCCATATGTATCTTATGTATAAAAATAAGTACACGTTTTTGGTGTGAGCTTATAACTTGATAACGGCTTCACCGAATTCAACCCAATTT